TTTTACTATGTCGACGTCTGTCATATAACCCATAGGCTACAATTTCGATAGGTTACTTAATATGTTGTTTGGATTTAGGAACGTATTTGTTATTGCAATTATTTTATATTTTTGCATAAATTAATAAATAACCCTAAGATGTGTTGCAATGACTATTATAATTGATTGAATTGATGATGTAATGTACTGCAATTATACATAATTCGTATGAATTTTGTTCAAAACAGTTTTAATATTTTTTCAATAAAAAATAACGTCTTACAATAATTGATAATTTTTGAGTTAGTATTTTCCATAAAATATCTATGTGGTTAGCTCAAGTTTGTTTTTGATGAGGGGGTGGAGTAAGGGTCGATCTCTCTCTTCCCAACCATTTGTAATTTTTATTTATAATAATATGTTGATTACGTTTTGGTGTTATAATACAATGATAAATTAAAATGTTTGATTTTTTCAATTTTTCCAGTTTTTCAGTATAATTATTTTATTTAACTATAACAAAATTATCTTTAATTAATTTAGAAGTAATTTAATACTAATTAACCTTATAGATATTAGAAACATATGATACAATTGTGATTTTTTATACTAATAGATTTTTTACTACTGTATATATACTAATATACTATGTATTGTATAATTTATATTATATTATTATTGTATTTATCGTATTTCTGTATTATTGAATAATTTACCCATTATATTATATAAACTTAATACTATCAGACATTATGTTTGTTAGAGGTATTTTGTAATATTGCACCTATAATAAATAAATTTTAAAATTTTAAAAGTTCGCTTTCACCCAATCAAGGTCCAGATACGATCTTGTAATCTAGATTCAAAACTTGAAAAAAATGTTGTTTAAAAACTTCTGAATAGAAAACAATTTCAAAGTACGTTTATTTTGTTTATAAAAAATGTACGTTTGTTCCATTTGTTGTACAGTAGACGCATTATACCTGATGAAAGTCTTAAATTTCTATTAAATTTGCATATTTAGTAGTATTGTAATATTGAAGTATTGTAATTAAGATGCTAATTACACAGGAGAAGTCGGTTGAACATATTTATTACTAATTGGATGGCAATGTATAATTAGGTATTTAGTTTTAGTTATTTAGTTTACGCCTAGGAAAATGTCACAATTTATAGAATAAAAAAATGTGAATGACTTTGTAAAACCACTTTATATTTAGTGTTAATGATCTATATGTACTTATTTGTATATTAGTTGGAGACTACCACTAATCGATTTATCATTCGTTTCTCACTAACTCTGAACTTAACATAACCGACTGAATAGCTTTAATTCTCAAGTTGAAAGGGATGTTAAGATGTCTAAATTCGATTACAGAGTTGTCTTATCTCGACATTTGTAAATTACTTCTAAAAAGAAAAAAATGGTTTTTGCTCGGGGATTCTCTGGTGATAAAGTGCATGCTGGATAAAAATCCGTTGAGATAACCGGATAGAGACTTGGTAGCTACTATAGCCGAACGGAATTACTGGGAGTCGTCGACGTGGAAATAATATTTATTAAAATATTCAAAAGATCTGAGGAGCAATAATAATGTTACGTATTTTCGTTAATCCAATCGTTTGTTTTGGGCTTGCATTTAAATTTGCGTTCCATTTGATAATTGTAATAAAATAAGTATGTGTAACGCGAATCTTATTTCATTATACGAGTAAATACTGAGGTTAGGTACCATAACTCTTCCAGGATGTTAAACGACTGTAAAATAAATATTGTTAATAATTTATCACTATTTGTGTATTTCTGAATCAAATTCATCGCTTTCAGTGTTTTCATTTTTGAACTGGTAAGAGTATCTATGATCTACATAATCATAAAAAATGTATTAAAAAAATATAAATATACGCATATACATATATATATATGCAGTGAAAACTCTTTTATAACTCGTTAACTCGTTACAACGAAAAACTCTATATTACGTAAATAACATTAAGTTAACTTATAATGGTCGGTTTGATTTAAAACTTATTAATTATTATCTATTACGAAAACTCTCAATAACGAAAGAAATCACATGGTCCCTTCAAATTTGTTATAGATAGTTTTCTCTGTATATCTATTACATATTATGACGCAATAACACTATTTTAGACGTGTGAAAACTAAAAGCAACAACTGGATGGTTTAATGTCGACCGATCGATATTAATAATATAACATGCTTTATAGTTTATAATCTATAGGAATAGCATGGTAGTTGAAGTACGCTGTTAGATTATGATAACATATTCTTAACATAAAGTCTGACAATGCATTATAATCATAAGTATACGCATGAGGTATAATCTGTGAGGGTAAGGCGTGATATTTTACAATATACATTTATATATATATATATATACACAGGATGTAACGGGTCTATTTGACTAATGCTATAACTTTTTTTGTTTTCAATACTTTTAAGTTTTTGTTTTGTAACAATTTCTAGAGTTCCACGTTATAATTTGTACATGATATATTTTTTTTTTTTTTACAACTAAAATTAAATAATTTAAATGTTGTATGTTGTATTAAATTTTTTTTCTTATGATCCAAGATAGCTATTTTAAAAATAAGTATTTAAAACCAGTTTTGGCGTTTAAGACTTTAATATGGTTACGTCATTGATTTTTGAACAATTTTCAAAGTTTGTTAAAATTCAAATTTATTTCTTGCTAATCAGTGTTTTGTGATCATTAAAAATTTAGATTATGCAATAATAAATACATATATTTTATCATTATTTACCATGACCACATGATGCATACTACCACCATTAGTCAAATAGAACTTTTACACCCTGTATTTATATGTATATATTCAATGATAATAGTTGGGATAATAATATTAAAATGTTCAGTCCTCACCGTCGCTGCTGAAAAACCGAAAAATTATGCTACTTCACATACCTGCAGCTTCTTAAATTTATGTTATACATGTGTAATATATATATATATATATATATATATAGTTCGTTATTCTCGCAAAAACCGGTCGATATAATATTCTATACGGTCCGGTGTCTGCAGCGGCTTATAGTTACGCGCCCATTTAATAATAATAATTGTTGACGGTAATAAACAACATAAAATCTCGTTCCGGCGGCACTCACGCAGCTCGTAAATCCTACGCAGTTTCYCGAGGCTCGTTGTCGTACCTGAATCTCAACGTATATATATATACATATATACGAACTCATGGCTTATGTATATAGATTTACGATCGTGTCACGTCCGCGTAATGGCCGGTGCCAGCCATAGGTTTCGGGCTGAAAATAATAATTACGGGTTATTGAATTTGCCTTATAATCTATATCTCGTTCCCGTGTACTGCGAGATACGACCTGTGCCCCGGTTGTAGGCCGCTGATTTGTAAATAGAGACGTACTAAAACGGTGACGTATTTACGACCTCGGGCACGACGAACAGGGCCGCCGAAATCGCGTTTGACAAACCACCGCGTTAATGATTGATTGCGATGCTGCGGAATTGAAAATCAGACGAAAAAAAAATCGAGAGCTCGCCTCGGACAACGCATGTGTAGCTTTTTAGAGTTTCAGACTAACACCGCCATTGCCGCGCTGCCCGGACGGTAAGTTTGCGGCGGCACATTATCCGTAAAACCGTCTTTATTATAATAATCGTATCACGATCGGCGTGCGATTGAAACAATATATTATAATATGTAGGTAGGTAATAGATATATTATGCGCTTATAAAATGTTACGCCTTACAAGCATGTTGAACTAAAATGGACACCATTGTCGCTTTCGATTTTGTTTTGAATCGGTTTTCCAAAGTTACCTCTCCCTCCCCAGCAGAGCGTGATTTGTGATAATTTTATTTTTACCAAACGGTAAAATAAATGACTATAATAACTATTGGCAATTTATTTATATGAAAATAGGTTGACAGACCGTCTCCGCTCAGTGTCGTTTTTCGTATGCAATGATTTATCATTGAATTCAAAATTAACACATCCATTATATTATACAAGTATATGATGACCTATATACTCGATGACGAGGAGTACACTCGACTCCTACTGTACTACAGACTATAGTTACCTATAAATTCCACCCTATTTTTAATTTGACAAATCTTATACATATACTAGTATACTTATCTTCCCATTATCCCATTCACCAATTTAAGAATAGCATACACATTTCAAAAGCTATTTTATTTACTTCCTTTTTATTACTTCCATAATATAATAAGTGCAAATAATAATAATAATTATTACATTTTCACTAACATTTAATCCTATAAAATACACTATAGTAATCTATTTTAGACTAGTCTTAGTAGGTACTTAACTCATAAACTATACAATATTATAATATTCTAGTCACTATAATAATATAATAGGTTTCCACGCGTTTGTGCATATCATTTAGTACCAGAGTATATAACACTGAATGATAACGTTGTGGTATTGACATACTAGTTCCGGTCCGACGTTTGTCGAACAGTCCAATTTAAATGTTCGTCATTTCGACTACCAAATAAAAATATTATATAACATACATTTTGGAAAATCAACATCATCCGTACCTTACGTATAAAATACAATAATATAACTTCGAAACACACTACCTCATCTTCAATACACCTACTGCAGACACACGTCCGGATTGAGATAATAACACCTGCCTCGACCTGGCGGACAGATAATGATTGTTCAGCTAGATGCTATATTACTGTTCGTGCGTGGCGATTAATCACCAACTTGCCACTGGCGAGATGAACGGATACGCACCGGAGGTCCATTCGCTCGCCAAACAAAAGGTATACGGCCAAATTGCCTAAGTGATTAGAAAACGTCATCATGTCGCACATCGAGAAATAAATATCGCCCGTGAAGTAAACCCATCTCAAATCACAGAATGATCGAAACAGTAATAGTTTTTAATTGTTTCGCTCATAATTATGTAATTATGTATTTATATTTTACCTATAGAGTTGTTGAAATGTATAATTTTTACTGATAATTATTTACAAACATGTCTTAGTAAATATTATTATGAATTTGATAATAATATATATTACGACGCGTTGACCTAATTGTTCATGTCGTACAGTTATAATATACGAATTTTCCGTTTCAACCCTTGCCCTCAATTGACGATTCCGAGCACGTCATCATTGGACCATTTCAAGACTGGCCGTTACTAATATCGCATCATTATGCGTATTATTTCACTCGACCGTGTCAATCACTTATCGATCGTCCGTCGTCGCATAGAAAGTTGGGAGCAAACTCGTGAAAATTGCGACACACACAAAAACCAATCACATAATTATTATAGGTTCCTGCAACCGGACATAATGATATATGTGTTAGCACACTGTGACTAATATGATAATATTTTATAATCACTATTCACACCGTTCGGAACTCTATAGGTTACACACTTTTGGTTGTTCGATAGGACCATCACGTGGCGTTTAAAATGATGGTAAAATACTCAAAATCAATTTCGTCTGTTTCTAAAAGTTCCGATAGAACAAAAATCATATTTGTATATTAAATATATATTAAACAAAATTATAAATTATTTATATTAATTACACAACCTAACGTTTATAATATAGCTACAAAGCGACGGATAAGTTTGTGGACAATTCCGTCGCGAGCGTAGTAAGAGGAAGAAATCCGAATCGGAAAGTGTATGATATGAAAAACCGTTTCGATTTGCGAAGAAACGCAAGAGACGTCGTCACCTGGCGGGGTCGCGTCCTACTCGTTCAGTCGTGCTGTGCGGCCGGTGCAGCCACTGTGGCGTCGAGTGGTGACTGCGACTGCAGATGAGGCGACGGTATCGCGACGGCACTGCACTTTTTCAGGTGCGTCCTCATGTTGCTACTCTGGCTGAAGCTCAGCCCGCACTTGTCGCACGAGTACGGTTTGACGCCCGTGTGGTAGTTCATGTGCGTCTTCAAGTGGTGTTTCTTGGTGAACGACTTGGCGCACACCGCACATGCGTACGGCTTGACGCCCGAGTGCAGTCGCATGTGCAGCGTCATGTTTGACCGGTCGGCGAACGGCTTGTGGCACACTGCGCACGAGAACGGTTTCTCACCGGTATGTATGCGCAGGTGCTGTTTGAGCAACATTTTCCTGGTAAACGACTTGCCGCAGTGGTGACAACTGTGCGGCTTTTCGCCCGTGTGTATGCGCACGTGCATGTTGTACGCTACCCGCTGATTGAAGCTCTTCGTGCAATACTCGCACTCGTACTCCTTCCGGTTCCGGTGGATCTTCATGTGCGAGCTCAGGTAACCGCGGTCGTTGAACAGCTTACCGCACTCCGGACAGCTGCCAGAGAACTCTCTGGTGCCCTCGTGTACGGACCTGTGATACTTGTAGTTGCGCAGTTGGCTAAACTGCTTGCCGCACGACTCGCACACAAACGGTTTCTCGCCCGTGTGGGTCCTCTGGTGGATCTGTACCGATAATAAGACACCTTATTAGACATGTAGGTAATGGTTTGTACTGAAGTTGACGGCAAGAAGTAAGCGATAYAGATTTTGTTAGATGTCACACAATTATACATTTTGTATCATTATTGTAATTGAAAATTGTATCACGATGTATTTTATTAATAATTATATCCAGCGGTGAGAATATTTTGGTTTTTAGGAATAGAATTTTGATCGTCTCACGAAAATATTTTAATTACTATTTAATGGTTCTGTGGTACCGAATAAAAATCATATTCAGCTAACACATCATACACATAMTCTGAGATACTTTGGTACAACCGTTAATTTACAAATTATATTTAATTATTAATTCAATGTGTTCGGCTACATATCAGGGGTCATCAACCCGCGACTCACCTTGCCTTTATCATGACCTTCTAGTAAATGGTATGGCACAGGCAATTTAAGCATATTATTATGTATTTTTAATCATTAAATTTATGTTTTTATWATAAATGCAGCCAGTGAAATTTAAATAAAATATTAGGTGCCTAATACTGTCTAAAAAATTTGAAGGCCCTTGAGACCCCATCATAGATAATTGATCACGCGATTACCTCATGGGATGGCCAATAATTAGTTTATGTGACTCATATTTTAGGTGTTTAATTATACCATTTTTAGAAAGAATACGGACTAAGAGCTTATTAGTCGTTTGAATGTTTAAATTTTTTAAATTTAATCATTGTATATAACATTACTTAAAGTAAGGTAAATTGAGTTTGGTATATTTTATACCTTGAGAGACGCCTTGGTTACGAAAGTCTTGCCACATTCTTGACAAACATGATTTTTCGTTTGATTCGCGTTTCGGTCTTTCTCCGGGATCCCATTATTGTTAGCATCACTGGTAACTTTTAATTTTTGGTTCGTGTCTCTGTCACTGTCAGTTGACGGTGACGGGGGTACAGAAACAAATGTTGGCTCTTCCGGCGGCGTTGGCGGCAGCGGAATAGGAAGCGATCCTTTTTGGATTTCCGTAACCTAAAAAGAAAACTGGTTTTAGAATTATTTAAAATTAACACATAGAAAGCAATAGAATTCTGTACACATTATAACTAATATTTAGGGTTTATATAAGATCGACDAGATTAATAGCAGAGGCGGTAACGTATCAATTATGTGCATGAAATGGGTGAAATGATTCATGGGCTAGAAATATAATGGCGAATATCATCATTATATTATATTATATACATACTGTATACAGGTTTTATGTGATAAGTACGTACACGTAAAAATCTTGCCGTTTTAAGTGCTTTAACGTAACACCGATGATTGTGTTAGGTATATCTGAATTTTGTTAGAAACAAGAATTCTCTTGTGTCAATATTATCCGTGTTTAATATGTTTATTCACAACGTTATACCTACGCTACACAACAGATGGTTTTTGCTTTTTACCTAGCTACGTTGTATTTAATTGAATGTATTTAAAAATAATAGTAAATAACAATTATGAAAATAAAATACAAACACCGTGAAAGTATCAACGTGCTTTTGTTTAAGTCGTATAGATATGCGATATCGCCCACGGTCGTCAGAGACCAGTCACGATCGGAGTCTATCCAAATATCTTAAACGCAATCATATACTGGTAATATTTTATACACCGACGACGATGGTACCGGAGTCGGAAGATAAGTGTGCTGCAGAGAGAAAGGCCAGCTTAGAATTTTTTTTTTTTATTTCCTAATGCGCTATCTTTTAAAACCCATCTCATCGTACGTACATGTTATTGATTCGCATAACACTGAGTTAGAATAATTTAATATAATATGATAATATTATACCACTTGCTCGTTGACGACGTGATGCGTGTAATGTCTATAATTATTAGAACTCTTGTTGCTGATCGGGTAATTCAATAATAATTATTTTCATTACGGGATGAGCTAAAATTTCTAAAGAAAAGTCTCGATTTAACTCGGTGGTGGCATTATACGCGAAATCAGTCACCCGTGTTGTGCGTGTGTGTTTAATGTTTATAGTTTGATAACCACATAACAATAAATAAACGTGAAAGCACGTACAAAATATGTTATGTACCTACTATTACTCATTGATTTGCATTTTACATCAGTTATTACACAGGGCAAACGTCGATTATCAAATGTAATTGCACGCTAGTACCTACCTACCATATTACCTAGGTATATTATATTTACACACATTGTACAATGTAACCTTTCATTAAATTAAATTCCACTCTATTCTTAAACGTTAACTGAATGATTTTATGCTTGTAATAATAATACGTTTACGTTAATACAATAAAACGAACCGATGAATACTGCAGAATTTTCAATACAAGAGTAGAATTTTTTTTTTTTGGGTCGACCCGAAAAAAATACGTTTATTGTGAATTGTAATACTTTAGTATTTTTTACTTTTAAACCCTAAATAAAATCGTAAAAAAATATCACAATACTAAAATACAAAAAAAACTTCTTTTGTGTATAAAATGAAATATTTTCAAAGATAAAATTCTAATTTTCTTTTTTTCAGCAAACCAAATTCGTAAATTACTAAGATAATTATATATATTATTATATTATACATAATCATAGGCAAAACTACAACATTTTATCAGGACAGTTCAAATGATAAATATTAAAAAAAATTATAATTACAACATGAGTTTTTTTTACATAAATTTTARATTTTATTAGATCAGTATGTTATCCAGTCAGTAGTAGGTCAGACCACGGTGAGTCTTAGTTAGTGGCCTGATCCATAATAATTTCGCCTATGAATATAATACTATAAGTTATTAGGGTATGGACCCTTGCCTATCCCATTAATAAATTTAAAATATTAATGAATCATTTTTTATGGCAATATATGAGATACTTCGCTGTATATAATTATTATTAAGTTCAGATTAATCAAAAGTAATTAYTTCATACACGTTAGACTTTAGAACCTCAGTCTAGATAAGTGTTTGAAAAAAAMTTGGTCAATTTAATAATTATAAAATATTAAGATAATAATAATTATTATTATCTATGAAAAGAGACTTAATTACAAATATTGGTTCCTTTAATAAGCATTAGGATTCATTATAATAATTGTATGCATTGTTAGGTATGGGTTTAATGTTATAAAGACTTTAGTTTAGTTCATAAAAATAAAATATACATACTAATATAATAAATAGTATATTMAAATATTTAGAAGGAAAAGATTTTAAATATTTGTTTTTCAATGTCTTCAATGTTGTCATAAGCATAAGGATAAATTATTTGAAGCAAATTATTTTAGTCAAAAYCGATGTAGTAGTGGTTGTAATTTCGTTATAATTAAAAACAAATAATTCTAAGTTAAAATCGTACAGTATTACTATATCGTAAAATTAAGCTTGTTGTAGGTATGATTACTATGATTGAGAATATACCTTTTTTGAGGAATACGATTGAGCATAACAATATGTTTAAAGCGACGTATATGCGATATCCGTTGATGGATGTGTCCGTTTCTCCATTACTATTACGCATGCAAACCGTACTATCAATTTTTTATATCTACGGTTATTTAATGCCAACGTGTTAATATTTTGTGAAATGTGAAAACATTTATTAAATAGTGAATATTAAACTATGAAAATATCGGCGGCTATCGATCATTAAAGAAAAATTAAAAATCTAAATATTATAACCGGCTGGGCCAGTAGCACAGTATAGTGAATGGCAACATCACAGTATATGCGCCAAGTAGGTTTTATTTTCTATTTCTTGGTCTTTCGATATGCCGAAAGTTTGCCCAATCGTGTTGAAGAAGATTGTTTAATACATAATCGTGTTGTAAGTCAACAAAATTCACCAAGAGTGATGTATTATTGCATTCGATTAGTTATCGAACAACAATTATTATAAAACTTGGTGTTTTTAATCATACAATCATCAAAATATAAATATTTATAGAATTCATAAATCTTATATTATATAGGAACTTTTTTTTTTTTAATACGAATAAAATAAATTACCAATGATCACAACAAGATTTTTGTATTTATATTTTTATTAATAACATACACTGTACTGACTACTGACCCTCTAACCACCTCCTTTTTTTCTTAATTTTTTTTTTTTTATTAAATAAAGTTTCACGTAAGTTATCTTAACTTATTGTTGATTAAATTACATTTTTTTTAACATTTGGACATTAGATAACAATTAGAATAATATTAGTAATAAGATATCGGCTATAAAGTGGTAAAGTATTATAATTATGGTGACAACTGAAATACCTATAATTTGAACATTTTAAGAATTTAGAAAATCGGAACCGAATACCCTTAACATTATAATTAGGGCTCGGATTTCAATGCATTTGCATCTTTTTTTTGGGATATCTTACRYGATGCTTTCYAAGCTACAAATATGTTTCAAGTACTTCGCAATCTAACCACAATAATTTTTTGGGGCATTTTTTGACGGTTTTAATGCATTTTTTAATTTTTTAGTACATTTTTGACCTATTTGTCGTATTATGACTAAAAAAATTTACCTCATTGAAATATAAGTACTACATAGTAATATAGTACTACGTAATAAAAATTATTTTCATTTTTAACTATTTTAACTAATTTAACATCAGGTTTTCCGGTTTTTACAACCTTTATGTCACACCATCYWATTAGCCGATATTATTGCACACAACTAAACTTTTATCGGATTATTTTCTTRTCGAKCGATAATATTATATCGGTGGTGTGCGTTTAATAAATAATGCATTTTTTGAAATGTCATTTTTTTATATTTTAGGGCATTTTTAGAGTTTTTAGGTCATAAATACATTTTTTGAAAGGGCATTTTTTTTATATTTTTAGGGCATTTAAATCCGAGCCCTAATTATAATAATATGTTGTATTGATTCTTTTTGACAGATTTTTTTTTACATTATTATTTGATATTTCATYAAAACATTTTCATATAAGTATAAACTAACAATTTTGTTGATTAATAAATAACAATGTGCAAAATCATATAAATATTTTCCCTAGTTATCATTTTAAATAAAACTAATAAT